TAGGGCTCTTGGTATTAATGCACTGGCTGTAGTAGTTTGGCAAATAGCCGTGCATTGTGTCTTTAGGAGGAAGCAAACCGTGCAGCTAACTTAATAAGAACCCAAGTCCGGGCAGTCACGTCAGTGTGCGAGGACCCTGCTTTCATGTGAGGCTATTAGCCAGAGTTGCGCCTTGGTTGTTAAAAATCTGTGGACCTACCCTGTGCCAGTCACTGGGCACATTCTGTGTGATTAAGTACTAAGCGAGGGAAAGCAAGCCAAGATCTACCACCGGCTCTCCAGGGCCTGTGAATAGCCCAGAGAGAGACAAAAGTAGGAAAGTCACGGGCCACTTCTCCACACGTGCACGCTCTGCCTGGGCCCCTCGGGACCTGGGGCGCAGGCCCCCGGGTACCGAGTCCTGTCCGTGCCAAGGTCCTTATGTCCACGGGGAAGCCTTCTCCTTATATAAAACATGCACAGAACCTGTGGATCTTGACTCCTGCACCAGAGCATATCGCCTCACACTTGCGGTGCAAATGATGTGTAAATACTTAGAATATGGTAGTTTTTCAGGGAACAAGACAGAAAGACTCCATTTTAGTTTCCAATATTTCAACCTATTATTGGTTGAAAACACTAACAAACAAGCACATGCAGCTGGATGCATGTAGGCTGAGGTATGTATTTATATCTGGATATATGTACACAGACTGCATGACATATGAAGCATCTCTGTGTCTGTGCAGACATGTATGTGATAGGACATATAAAATGTTTGGGAATATTTACAAGTATTTAATTATGGATAATTACAAATGTATATTTTGTCTCCTTGCTTGGAGCTTAAAAAGTGCTTTATGGTTGCCTTTGTGTATTCCTACTTTCAAAGGAGAACACACGATATGCTTTCTTCTTAATAGCCAAATAAAGATTATTTTATCACTAGGCAAATAACTAAACTGCTATTATGAGAACAGCCGTATGTGTGGCATTGTTGAATTTTCACCACGCCAGACACTCTTTAAGATTATATGGGCCATGAACCCTTCGAATCCTTACAACCGGCTACCGAGGGATCTAGAGACCCAAAGACGTGGCTAGATTCCAAAGATTGCTGCTGTCCGTGGTACAGCCAGGATGGAGGGGGCTTTCACCCCGGACTGCATGTGTGCACGCGCCAGTACCTCCGAGAGTAGCAATTCCTCCCACCCATCACCCACATAGATGCTTTAAGAGAGGAAAAGTAGCCCAGTGATACATACAGTATTGTGCATGAAACCACACCTCTTAGATTAAATATGATTAAAAACAAAGATTCAAGGTGTGTGTTACCAATTTGGCACATTCAAAAGATAGATATCACACCGGACTCTCTATATTTGGGGGCTTTACAAAAAAGCAAGGCATGGAAGTAGAATTTATTTTTTTGCACCAGTATGTACTGGCATATACTTGTAAGTACCAGGGAACTCACTAGAATACAACAATAGAGTATGCTAAAAAGAAAATAAGAAAGCAGTGTATCGCCAACTGTATCTTCAGCGCACAGTTTATAATATTTAACTTTAAAAATGATGGTGTCGGGGGCTGGGAAGGTGGCTCAGTGGTAAAGCACTTGCCTTGCATGTCTGAGGCCCTGGGTTCGATTCCTCAGCACCACATAAGCAAAAAGGAAAAAGCCTGAAGTGGCGCTGTGGCTCAAGTGGTAGAGCGCTAGCCTTGAGCTAAAGAGCTGAGGGACAGCGCCCAGGCCCAGAGTTCAGGCCCCACGACCGGACCAAAAAAGAAAAAAAAAAGATGGTGTTTTTTTTGAAAATTTTCTGAACTGTGTGCTTGAGCCCTTTGCATTTCTATTTTATTAACTTCAGAAGATTTGCCTGTTAACGATTTTGCACGATTCAGCTTTGTCAGTATCTTTCCAATTCCTGCAGGCTTCACTTTTGACACTTTAATGCTGAGTTTCAGAGGGCACCTGGGCATGTGACCATGCACACGTGCACACTGGCATAACCTGACCATTTTCTGTGCAGAGGTATTCATGATTCGTTTACTATTGACAATTCTAGTCAGATACAGAAACAAAAAGGTTGTGACACTAAAACGTCTGTAAAAATGTTGGCATGTTTCAAAATGTTTCAAGAAGTCTCAGAATGTTTTTACATAAAGGTGAGTCTTCTTAACAGATGACTTACATAAAATTCAAGGATCTTCTCTGATTGACTCCAGTTCTCTGCTTGTCATCATGAGTTATTTTTATTTAAAGTATTGATTTGCAATCAACAACTTCATTTTCCTTTTCTCTCAACAGTTGAAATCCATGTGATATCCTAAAAATTCTCTGTATATGCCCAGATCCTGAAAATTAAATTGATGTGTGTGTGTGTGTGTGTGTGTGTGTGTGTGTGTGTGCGCGCGTGTGTGCATGCATGCAAGTGCACGTGTGTGCGTTGATACCAGGGTTTGAACTCGGGGCCTTGTACCCTTACTCTTCTTTCTTGCTCATGGCTGGCACTCTACCAGCGGAACCACATCTCCAGTCCATTACTTTGTGAATTAATAGGAGATGGAGTCTGACAGATTTTTCTATTGGTCTGGCTTTGACTTGTGATGCTCCAGTCCCAGATTCCTAAGCTCCTGTGATCACAGGTGTGAGCTACAGCACCTGCTGAAAGTTGGCTTTTGATGAGAGATTTTGTCTGCATTCACATTTTCAGAGACTGGGGGCCTGGGGCCCTGGATGGAGAATGTGATACGGGCAACTCTACAGCCATGGGAATAGGTTGTCATCCGTGTCAGGTAACGGCAGTCACCCGTGTCCCTCTTCCCGCCTGCCTGCAAGGTCTCCCCTGCCTCTCACTGCGGAGAGGGAGGGAGAGGGCTGCGTGGCCCCGGAGCCACAGCCACGGGGTGCTCCGGATTAGCATCCGGTCATTTCCGTAATTCCTGGGGAAAGCCCCCCACGCGGCTGAGAGCAGAACCCAGGCCCCTCTCAAGGTGGCTCTCCAGCTCGCTCGTGCAGGGAGCCCTGGGAGGCCCTCTGGAAGCACGGCCCGGTCCAGGGCTCCGATGGCTCCCACGGAGGACCCCACAGGCCTTGCCCCCCGCGCCCCGCGCTCTTCCTGTCCTCTGGGGTGCTTGGAGCGTGGCCCAGCGTCCCTGCATCGTCCGGTCAGCCCAGTCACCCAGGGCCCCCTGAACATCGGTGCTAGGAGACTCACTGCAGTACTCACGCTGATGGCATCTAATCGTAACTGTGCAGATCGAATTCATCATGAGACACACCTACCACCTTGAGTGTGTAAGAGGCAACAACAACAAAAAAGCCTCCCGTAAAAAAGACAGTTGTTCCCTTCACCGGGGCTGATTGGACAGTTGGGGACGATCCGCGAGGAGGGCCTGTAACTTAGGGCAGGGCTTCGTGGGTGCATCCTTAAGGTCCGCATGGTGCGGATCCCTTTCTGGGTTGTTCCTGGATGAATGAGCCTGAATACATTGGAGTCGCTCACAGCAAGCTTTTCAAAAGCAGTGCTTCTCAAATCAAGTCCAGTGACCTCGTTGCCATGGACGCACTCACAGCCCAGGGAAATGGTGTCTTTTGTCTTCCACAGACTCCTTGGTGTGGATGTTGTTGAAGGGTCCAGTTTGAGAGCTGGACCTAGGGGCTTTAGAGTTTTATTAGGAAAACATCTCTCTGTCCATATAAACCTAGAGCAATGGGTGCATCTCAAACACAAAAAGGAAATCAGATTAAGGATTACCCTCCTCTCCCTGCTTTGAGTGGTGGGATTTGAACTCGGCACCCTGTCACCTGAGCCAGGCCACCTAAGAATAGTTATTTGTCAGATGAGCTCTCATGCCTTTGCCTGGAGCACCTGGGCTGTTACTCTTTCCTCTGTCCGTGCATCTTGGATGGCAGAAGGGTGCCCCCACACGTGGCTTTTCTGTTGGGATGAAGTCTCACTAGCGTTGTTCTTAGGTTGGCTTTAGCTGAGATCCTTCTGATCTGCCCCTCCCACATAGTTGGTATTACAGGCATGAGCAGCTGTACCCAACTTTAACAAGCTTTGTTCACATATCTTACTTTGTTGTTGGTTTTACTATTCATAATACCAAAAGGGTTACATTTTAGTGTATCTGCAGAGTCCTGGTAATTTTCTGGGTGAGATATTAGCAGCATTTTGGACATGTCTGACTCACTTGTAACGAACTCCCGTGGGACTTAAGTGTAAACTGTCTCTGTTCCACTCTGAAGACCCTGCCAGGCTGATTCCCCAGACTCACGAAGGCCACCAGCCAGCCTCGCCAGCCCCAAGCTCATAGATGGGGTGGATGTCAGGGAGGAAGCTGCAGGTGAATGAAGGGCTCTGCCTCTGACTGTGAAACTCCAGTGAAATCAGCCACATAGGCACAAGTGTTCACCTCCCTTTCAGTCCCCGGCACCGGCAGTGGCGCCCTGTGCTGCCGGTACCTGTGCCGCTCCGCGCCTCTGAGCATCCTGTGCCTGTCACCGGAGGCCTCGCGCACAGCTGCTCCAGCCTTTCCCCAGGAGGCTAGAGAGATGTCCGCTCCGGCGCATGACTGACTCTTCCCCACCTGAGTTGCATGTCTGTAAATCCAAAAACAAATGGCTGCCCTGTGTGTGTGTGTCTGTGCATGTGCACACGCACCACAGAAAGAAAGGAACAGGCCAACTGACTTTTAGCCGTTAGTGTCCGCGCTGGGGTTCGGGGACTGGGCCCCGCTGGGTGCTGATAGAGGTTTATGCAGAAAATCCGTGCATGCATCTGTGCCATTCCCGGTGCAGAGCCTGGTTGGTGGCGCCAGCCCCGCCGGCCTCTGGGTCAGGGTTCGGCTCTCATGTGCCATCTGACCTCTCCGCCCCTGCCTCACCATCAGTGGGACGGCAGGAAGACACTGGGTATTTGATTTTGATTATAAGTAGGGACTGGCGTCTGTCTCGGGCCCTGATGACGGAGGCTTCAGCCGAGGGGCCTCACTGTGACCTGCTTCTCTTGCAGCGGTGCCCTGCCCCAGCATCGAGGCCCAGCTGTCAGACCACGTCCTCTGGAGGCTGGTGTCGGGGTCAATGAATGAGTACGGGGCCCAGGTCCTACTGAGCTGCAGCCCTGGCTACTTCTTAGAAGGCCGCAGGCTCCTCCAGTGTCAAGCAAATGGTACGTGGAGCACCGGACAAGAGAGACCCAGGTGTAAAGGTGAGTGACGTCCTTCTCCAGTGATGCAGGCCTTCCCCAGTGACGCAGGCCCTCCCGGGTTACACAGGCCCTCCCCGGTGACACAGGCCTTCCTGGGTGACACAGGCCCTCCCGGGTTACACAGGCCCTCCCCGGTGATACAGGCCTTCCACAGTGACACAGGCCCTCTCCAGTGATACAGTCCTTCCCCGGTGACGCAGGCCCTCCCAGTGATACAGGCCTTCCACAGTGACACAGGCCCTCCCCAGTGATGCACGCCTTCCCCGGTGACGCAGGCCTTCCCCAGTGACGCAGGCCCTCCCTGGTGACGCAGGCCTTCCCCGATGACACAGGCCTTCCCGGGTGACACAGGCCCTCCCTGGTGACACAGGCCTTCCCCGATGACACAGGCCTTCCCCGGTGACACATCCCCGGTTACACAGGCCCTCCCCAGTGACGCAGGCCATCCCCAGTGACACAGGCCCCCCCGGGTGACGCAGGCCCTCCCCGGGTGATGCAGGCCTTCCCCGGGTGACACAGGCCTTCCCGGGTGACGCAGGCCCTCCCCGGGTGACACAGGCCCTCCCCGGGTGACACAGCCTTCCCCGGTGACACAGGCCCTCCCTGGTGACGCAGGCCCTCCTGGGTGACGCAGGCCTTCCCGGGTGACGCAGGCCCTCCTGGGTGATGCAGGCCTTCCCCAGTGACGCAGGCCCTCCCCGGGTGACACAGGCCCTCCCTGGGTGACACAGGCCTTCCCCAGTGACGCAGGCCCTCCCGGGTGACACAGGCCCTCCCCAGTGACACAGGCCTTCCCCGATGACACAGGCCTTCCCGGGTGACACAGGCCCTCCCTGGTGACACAGGCCTTCCCCGATGACACAGGCCTTCCCCGGTGACGCAGGCCCTCCCTGGTGACACAGGTCCTCCCCACTCTCCCGGGTGACACAGGCCTTCCTGGGTGACACAGGCATTCTCCAGTGACGCAGGTCTTCCCGGGTGACACAGGCCTTCCCCGGTGACACAGGCCTTCCCCGGTGACACAGGCCTTCCCTGGTGACACAGATCCTCCCCACCCTCCCGGGTGACACAGGCCCTCCCCAGTGACACAGGCCCTCCCCGGTGACACAGATCCTCCCCACCCTCCCGGGTGACACAGGCCTTCCCCGGTGACACAGGCCTTCCCTGGTGACACAGGTCTTCCCGGGTGACACAGCCCTCCCTGGGTGATGCAGGCCTTCCCGGGTGACACAGGCCTTCCCCGGTGACACAGGCCTTCCCCGGTGACACAGGCCTTCCCTGGTGACACAGATCCTCCCCACCCTCCCTGGGTGATGCAGGCCTTCCCCGGTGACACAGGCCCTCCCTGGTGACACAGATCCTCCCCACCCTCCCAGGTGACACAGGCCTTCCCCGGTGACACAGGCCTTCCCCGGTGACACAGCCTTCCCTGGGTGACACAGGCCTTCCCCGGTGACACAGCCTTCCCTGGGTGACGCAGGCCTTCCCCGGTGACAGAGGTCCTCCCCACCCTCCCCGGTGACACAGGCCTTCCCCGGTGACACAGGCCTTCCCCGGTGACACAGGCCTTCCCCAGTGACACAGCCTTCCCTGGGTGACACAGGCCTTCCCCGGTGACACAGCCTTCCCTGGGTGACGCAGGCCTTCCCCGGTGACACAGCCTTCCCTGGGTGATGCAGGCCTTCCCCGGTGACAGAGGTCCTCCCCACCCTCCCCGGTGACACAGGCCTTCCCCGGTGACACAGGCCTTCCCCGGTGACACAGGCCTTCCCCAGTGACACAGCCTTCCCTGGGTGACACAGGCCTTCCCCGGTGACACAGCCTTCCCTGGGTGACACAGGCCCTCCCCGGTGACAGAGGTCCTCCCCACCCTCCCGGGTGACACAGGCCCTCCCCGGTGACAGAGGTCCTCCCCACCCTCCCGGGTGACACAGGCCTTCCCCGGTGACACAGGCCTTCCCCGGTGACACAGCCTTCCCTGGGTGACGCAGGCCCTCCCCGGTGACAGAGGTCCTCCCCACCCTCCCGGGTGACACAGGCCCTCCCCGGTGACAGAGGTCCTCCCCACCCTCCCGGGTGACACAGGCCTTCCCCGGTGACACAGCCTTCCCTGGGTGACACAGGCCCTCCCCGGTGACGCGCTTCTAAGGCACTGGTGCCCATGGGTGCCTCCACCAAGGTGCCCCCTTGCAGTCCTGTAGATGAAGGTGGAGCCAGGTGGCATGTCTGCACGTCTCTGTGATAAGCCTGTGCTGCTGTGGCCTGAACCGTCGGCACTGTGTGGGACGCTGGTGATGTGCTTTCATGGTCAGTGACCATTTCCTGTCGGGACCCTCAAACAGCTCCCGTCAACTCCAAGACAAATAAGAACCTGCTGTGTTATAAGATCCACATAGAAACGCATGAGGTTGGGGAGCTCCGTTTATGCTGAGGATCGTACGTGTTTCACAGCCATTGTGCGGTGTATGCTTGGATTTTCTCTCACCAAGGGACAATGAAGGCTTTGAGTCCATCTCATAACAAATGAGAATGAAAAAAAAGTAAACCACACTGACTGTGCAAGGCCGAACTGACGGTGATGGTTTTCAGGAAACGATCATGCATATTCACAGGTAGTTGAAACACAGTAACGTGTGTATAATACTCAACTCAATGAGAAGGAACTCAAATCCAAACCAAGGGAGGCAAAGGAAGATGCTTAGCATTTGGAGAGAACTTGCAGCTCTCAAAGAACAAATGTTAATTAGGCACAAACTAGAAACTCCCCATGGGAACCCGGGGGTGCTGGGGGGAGGGGGCGCTGGCCCCTGGTGCCTGCCAAGGGAAGCCTTCCGTGTCCCGAGAGGTTTCTGGGAGTTGTCTCCTGCACATAGCCTGTTCCAGGGAAGGTGGTATTTGGGGGACTATGTCAGGCTCCCCTGCCTCCTTCAAGCCAGAAGCAGGGGCTAAAGCAGATTAGCTTTCAGAAGGAAGGTTTCCAGGGACACCCTGCAGGCTGGGCCTCTCCACCCTCGTATTCCCCAGGGTCTTGGCTGGTTCCTAGTGCTCCCCGTGCCCAGGGCCCACGGCATGGACCCTACAGTTTTATGCTCATGCAGCATCAGGTTTCCAGAGGATTCAGACATATAGATGGAGGCTTCCTGGGTTCTTGTCCTTTACATGAAAGGATATTCAGTGCTGTTCACGAAAATAGATGCTCTGAGTGATGGAATTGCCGTCAGCTCGTCGACTGCCAGAAGAAACCTTACCCTGCAGGAACCACCTTTTTGATCACGAGTGTAAAGTTGTTTACCGCTTATATTTTCAAGACTATATGACAAATAAGAAGAGATTCCAGCTCTCCTGATTCTTGAAGCCAGTTTCATCGTGAGATGCCGCTGCCCGGGAGAGGCTCACCCAGGGTGCTGCAGTCCCAGAGCCCTCTTTCTAACGCTGGCCTTGCACGGACTGGAACGCAGGGGCTGTGTGGGGCTGTGGCTGCATCCAGGGATCAGAGCCTCCCCCCTTTATAGAGCAGATATCTATACTTGAGTATCACCGCATCTTCTGTTGAAAATATCAGGAAAAGCACAGCGGATATAGTGTTGGGACACACTACCTTTAAATCTTTACCCTTCAAGGAGTAAAGTGAAAATACGTGTTAGAAACTTACGCTGTATTTACATTATTTTCTGTTACCTACAAACAAAAAAATCATAAAATCCATAAATCATTAGCATCAAGAAAATACACACGAGTGTGTTTTCCCCGTAGAGCGTGCCTGTAGGCTCTGCAGAGCGTGCGGGGTCTGTGCAGTGACTGTAAGCACTTGCATGTGGCTGTCGGCTGTGTACAGCGTTCGGTGTGCGCTCCTGTCCTGGGGCACACCAAGCATGAACGCTGAGCCTGCTCTCCATCTGATCCCCGGCCCTTCACTGGGCAAGCATGGCCCTGTTGACTAGCCATGGCCTTGGGAGCTGGGGCAGGACCTGGTCGCTGGGTCTTTATCAGCAGAGAGCAGCTGCTCTTGTCTACGAGTCCCAGCAATGCTCTGCCAAGAAGGCTGACCCTACGGGAGTGAGAAACACAGCCCGATGGGTGCCATCAGCGGGAGACTGCGCTTCTGTGCCAGTTCCGGGATGCTGTTTCCTCGCTGTTTCTCCCACACCTTTCCCGGGGGGACAGTCACCTGCCATTCCACAGATCGCTGTAACATCACAGTTTCAAAACATGGTCCCATTAATTAAATGGCTATCTGTTAAATCTCATAGCTCAAGGTAGAAGTAATAGTGTGTTGGGAAGAAGGCTTTGGACCAGTTAAAACCAAGTTGTAGCAATGTTAAGTCCTCCTTGACTTCACGACGTGCCGTGCAGCACACACACTGCCCGCGCGGCCCACGGTGACGCGGGGCCCAGCACCAGGACTGCGTTCCCAGTTTCTGTCGCACGACCCTGCTGGTCCGCCTCGCAGAGCAGCTGGCCGCACACGTGAACTGAGGCGGCATCTGAAGGGCTGATGCCCGTGGTGCCGGCACAGATACCGTAGGAATCGCCCCGCGGGTCTTCACCGCTGATTCCATTGCCGGAGTGGTTCCCGACACGTGTGGCTTTGGCGGGATGAACGTGTCTCTGTCCTTTCTGAGACAGCCGCACAGTCTTGAGTGCTGCGTGTCATCACCCACCCTAGCGGGGCCCAGGGACTGTCACGTTCACCTCCGGACCTGTGGACGTGGGTGACCTGTGGCCCGGCTGTGGCGTGAGGGCCATGGTGCGGGGTTTTCCTGCTGCCAGCCGGTGACTGTTGATGTGGACACTGCTTGCCCGCTTGGCTTCAGCCTCTCCTCATTAGAGCTCACTCGGAGGTCTGCATGCTGCCCTTTGCCTTGCTTTCTAAGACTTCTGTTTTTACTACTTAAATCACACAGGACCCTCTAGAAGCCCGGGGCCTGACACTGTGGGAGTCCACGCAACCCCTCTGGTTTTGTGGTTTTGTGCACCAGTGGTCATACATCTGCAGTACAGAGTTGTGTGTGTGTCCTGTCTCTGGTGTGTCCTGTGTCTGGTGCATCCTGTGTCTCTGGTGCGTACTGTGTCTCTGGTGCGTCCCGTGTCTCTGGTGTATCCTGTGTCTCTGGTGCATCCCGTGTCTCTGGTGCGTCCCGTGTCTCTGGTGTATCCTGTGTCTGGTGCATCCTGTGTCTCTGGTGCATCCTGTGTCTCTGGTGCGTCCTGTGTCTCTGGTGCATCCCGTGTCTCTGGTGTATCCTGTGTCTATGCTGTGTCCTGTGTCTCTGGTGTATCCTGTGTCTCTGGTGCGTCCTGTGTCTCTGGTGTGTCCTGTGTCTATGCTGTGTCCTGTGTCTATGCTGTGTCCTGTGTCTCTGGTGTGTCCTGTGTCTCTGGTGCGTCCTGTGTCTCTGGTGTGTCCTGTGTCTGGTGTATCCTGTGTCTCTGGTGCATCCTGTGTCTCTGGTGTGTCCTGTGTCTCTGGTGTGTCCTGTGTCTATGCTGTGTCCTGTGTCTCTGGTGCGTCCTGTGTCTATGCTGTGTCCTGTGTCTCTGGTGTATCCTGTGTCTCTGGTGCGTCCTGTGTCTCTGGTGTGTCCTGTGTCTATGCTGTGTCCTGTGTCTATGCTGTGTCCTGTGTCTCTGGTGCGTCCTGTGTCTCTGGTGTGTCCTGTGTCTCTGGTGCATCCTGTGTCTCTGGTGTGTCCTGTCTCTGGAGCATCCTGTTTCTCTGGTGCGTCCTGTGTCTCTGCTGTGTCCTGTGTCTCTGATACGGTGACTGACTTCTCTCCTGTGCCCGAGTGCTTAGGCAGTGGCAGTGCTCAGGCTTGGAGGCACGCTAGGACCCCTGCTCACCCTTCCTACAACTCAAAAGATGTAGCTCATACATGTGCTTGCTAGCTTCTGGAAAGTACCGCATGTCCTGGTCAGGATCTAACCGATTTTATAAGCAACAGCAAGGATGACAGACTCAGTTCTGCCGTGGGGCTCGGACGGCCTGGACACTGCCCAGCGACGTCGGTGCAGACCATCCACACTCATCCTGACTGGCCCACGTGGGTCTGAGCATGCACTCCAGGCGTGTACTGGCGAGGATAGTAGATATGCTCGCTGTCAGTGAACACATTCATAAATGGTACATGTTGAAGGATGAGCAAAAAACAAACAATGGGTGATTTCAGGGATCTAAATATTGGGGGAGTTGCTGTATTTCCAGCCCTCCTCTCCAGGGTCTCGTGTCAAGGGGCCGTAGAAAGCACGCTGAGCTTGGAGGCACTGGTGCCCCCCGCCCCTCAATCCTGGTGACGCCGCCCTCGGGATGCGTGGTTTATTCTGAGCAGTGAGGATGTCTGGGCCTGAGATCACGCTCCTCCTCTCTCCTCTAGTTATCTCCTGTGGAAGCCTGTCCTCCCCTCCCAACGGTAACAAGATCGGGACGCTGACCATGTACGGAGCCACGGCCATCTTCACCTGCAACACGGGCTACACACTCGTGGGCTCCCATGCCAGGGAGTGTCTGGCAAACGGCCTGTGGAGCGGACCCGAGACGCGGTGCCTGGGTAAGTCCTTCCGGCCCTGTACTGCTCCACTCAAGACGCCTTGAAACGGGTCCCCAAATGCCGGCCCAGACTTGTCCCTGCTTCCAGAGTGCCGTTAGGCTCAGTCCATGCGATGTGAGCTGGCCAGACAGGGTGACCTAGGGACTGTCCTAAAGAGGGCAAAGAACACACTCAAAGGCCATCTTCAAAGGCTTTGTGCTTCTGGAAAGCACATGCATGAATTTCAGAACTTATACGTTCTATCTTTTTACAAATACACAAATTATATGCAGAAACTGGAGTGGGCTGGTGCTGGCGACTCCTAGCTGTCATCCCAAAGGCTGAGGCGAGCGTGGAAGCCAGCCCGGGCAGAGGGTAGGCAGGACTCCGCCTCCCATGAAGCAGCCAGGCCAGGGAGCGAGCAAGCTGGACAAGCTCAGACCCCTGAATAGGACCATAAAGAGTGAATTGTTAAAGCCCACGCCGGTGGCTCACGCCTGTCATCCTAGCTACTTAGGAGGCTGAGATCTGAGGATCACAGTTCAAAACCAGCCCGGGCAGGAAAGGCCGTGAGACTTTTACCTCCAATAAACCACTAGAAAACCAGAAGTGGCACTGTGGCTCAAGTGGTAGAGTGCTTCCCTTGAGCTGAAGAGCGCAGGGACAGCACCCAGGCCCTGAGTTCAAGCCCCACGACCGACAAAAGAGTGAATTGTTATACTGGGAAAGAGCTGTCACTCCTTGGTTTTCTTATTTTTCCCCCAAGAATGAAATGCTTTTTACAGTGTAATGACTGAAAAAAGGGACGATGATGTTTATGTGGAACAAACGTGTGAACGTTGTTGAAAACGCAGTTGGCAGCGCAGTGATGCTGAGCCCTTGTCAGATCCTTCCCCTCTCTCGTGGTGCTGAGCCCTTGTCAGATCCTTCCCCTCTCTACTGGTGCTGAGCCCTTGTCAGATCCTTCCCCTCTCTCGTGATGCTGAGCCCTTGTCAGATCCTTCCCCTCTCTACTGGTGCTGAGCCCTTGTCAGATCCTTCCCCTCTCTACTGGTGCTGAGCCCTTGTCAGATCCTTCCCCTCTCTACTGGTGCTGAGCCCTTGTCAGACGCCTTCCCCTCTCTCGTGGTGCTGAGCCCTTGTCAGATCCTTCCCCTCTCTAGTGATGCTGAGCCCTTGTCAGATCCTTCCCCTCTCTCGTGGTGCTGAGCCCTTGTCAGATCCTTCCCCTCTCTCGTGGTGCTGAGCCCTTGTCAGATCCTTCCCCTCTCTCGTGGTGCTGAGCCCTTGTCAGATCCTTCCCCTCTCTAGTGGTGCTGAGCCCTTGTCAGATCCTTCCCCTCTCTAGTGGTGCTGAACCCTTGTCAGATCCTTCCCCTCTCTCGTGGTGCTGAGCCCTTGTCAGATCCTTCCCTTCTCTAGTGATGCTGAGCCCTTGTCAGATCCTTCCCCTCTCTAGTGATGCTGAGCCCTTGTCAGATCCTTCCCCTCTCTACTGGTGCTGAGCCCTTGTCAGATCCTTCCCCTCTCTACTGGTGCTGAGCCCTTGTCAGATCCTTCCCCTCTCTCGTGGTGCTGAGCCCTTGTCAGACCGTTCCCCTCTCTACTGGTGCTGAGCCCTTGTCAGACCCTTCCCCTCTCTACTGGTGCTGAGCCCTTGTCAGATCCTTCCCCTCTCTAGTGATGCTGAGCCCTTGTCAGATCCTTCCCCTCTCTACTGGTGCTGAGCCCTTGTCAGATCCTTCCCCTCTCTCGTGGTGCTGAGCCCTTGTCAGATCCTTCCCCTCTCTAGTGGTGCTGAGCCCTTGTCAGATCCTTCCCCTCTCTAGTGGTGCTGAGCCCTTGTCAGATCCTTCCCCTCTCTACTGGTGCTGAGCCCTTGTCAGATCCTTCCCTTCTCTAGTGGTGCTGAGCCCTTGTCAGATCCTTCCCCTCTGTAGTGGTGCTGAGCCCTTGTCAGATCCTTCCCCTCTCTACTGGTGCTGAGCCCTTGTCAGATCCTTCCCCTCTCTACTGGTGCTGAGCCCTTGTCAGATCCTTCCCCTCTCTAGTGGTGCTGAGCCCTTGTCAGATCCTTCCCCTCTCTAGTGACGCTGAGCCCTTGTCAGATCCTTCCCCTCTCTCCTGGTGCTGAGCCCTTGTCAGATCCTTCCCTTCTCTAGTGGTGCTGAGCCCTTGTCAGATCCTTCCCCTCTCTACTGGTGCTGAGCCCTTGTCAGATCCTTCCCCTCTCTAGTGGTGCTGAGCCCTTGTCAGATCCTTCCCCTCTCTAGTGATGCTGAGCCCTTGTCAGATCCTTCCCCTCTCTCGTGGTGCTGAGCCCTTGTCAGATCCTTCCCCTCTCTCCTGGTGCTGAGCCCTTGTCAGATCCTTCCCTTCTCTAGTGGTGCTGAGCCCTTGTCAGATCCTTCCCCTCTCTACTGGTGCTGAGCCCTTGTCAGATCCTTCCCCTCTCTAGTGGTGCTGAGCCCTTGTCAGATCCTTCCCCTCTCTAGTGATGCTGAGCCCTTGTCAGATCCTTCCCCTCTCTCCTGGTGCTGAGCCCTTGTCAGATCCTTCCCTTCTCTAGTGGTGCTGAGCCCTTGTCAGATCCTTCCCCTCTCTACTGGTGCTGAGCCCTTGTCAGATCCTTCCCCTCTCTAGTGGTGCTGAGCCCTTGTCAGATCCTTCCCCTCTCTAGTGGTGCTGAGCCCTTGTCAGATCCTTCCCCTCTCTACTGGTGCTGAGCCCTTGTCAGATCCTTCCCCTCTCTAGTGGTGCTGAGCCCTTGTCAGATCCTTACCCTCTCTCCTGGTGCTGAGCCCTTGTCAGATCCTTCCCCTCTCTACTGGTGCTGAGCCCTTGTCAGATCCTTCCCCTCTCTCGTGGTGCTGAGCCCTTGTCAGATCCTTCCCCTCTCTCGTGGTGCTGAGCCCTTGTCAGATCCTTCCCCTCTCTACTGGTGCTGAGCCCTTGTCAGATCCTTCCCCTCTCTAGTGGTGCTGAGCCCTTGTCAGATCCTTCCCCTCTCTCCTGGTGCTGAGCCCTTGTCAGATCCTTCCCCTCTCTACTGGTGCTGAGCCCTTGTCAGATCCTTCCCCTCTCTCGTGGTGCTGAGCCCTTGTCAGATCCTTCCCCTCTCTCGTGGTGCTGAGCCCTTGTCAGATCCTTCCCCTCTCTACTGGTGCTGAGCCCTTGTCAGATCCTTCCCCTCTCTAGTGGTGCTGAGCCCTTGTCAGATCCTTCCCCTCTCTCGTGGTGCTGAGCCCTTGTCAGATCCTTCCCCTCTCTCGTGGTGCTGAGCCCTTGTCAGATCCTTCCCCTCTCTCGTGGTGCTGAGCCCTTGTCAGATCCTTCCCCTCTCTCGTGGTGCTGAGCCCTTGTCAGATCCTTCCCCTCTCTCGTGGTGCTGAGCCCTTGTCAGATCCTTCCCCTCTCTCGTGGTGCTGAGCCCTTGTCAGATCCTTCCCCTCTCTACTGGTGCTGAGCCCTTGTCAGATCCTTCCCTTCTCTAGTGGTGCTGAGCCCTTGTCAGATCCTTCCCCTCTCTACTGGTGCTGAGCCCTTGTCAGATCCTTCCCCTCTCTCGTGGTGCTGAGCCCTTGTCAGATCCTTCCCCTCTCTACTGGTGCTGAGCCCTTGTCAGATCCTTCCCCTCTCTCGTGATGCTGAGCCCTTGTCAGATCCTTCCCTTCTCTAGTGGTGCTGAGCCCTTGTCAGATCCTTCCCCTCTCTACTGGTGCTGAGCCCTTGTCAGATCCTTCCCCTCTCTCGTGGTGCTGAGCCCTTGTCAGATCCTTCCCCTCTCTACTGGTGCTGAGCCCTTGTCAGATCCTTCCCCTCTCTACTGGTGCTGAGCCCTTGTCAGATCCTTCCCCTCTCTAGTGGTGCTGAGCCCTTGTCAGATCCTTCCCCTCTCTACTGGTGCTGAGCCCTTGTCAGATCCTTCCCTTCTCTAGTGGTGCTGAGCCCTTGTCAGATCCTTCCCCTCTGTAGTGGTGCTGAGCCCTTGTCAGATCCTTCCCCTCTCTACTGGTGCTGAGCCCTTGTCAGATCCTTCCCCTCTCTACTGGTGCTGAGCCCTTGTCAGATCCTTCCCCTCTCTAGTGGTGCTGAGCCCTTGTCAGATCCTTCCCCTCTCTAGTGACGCTGAGCCCTTGTCAGATCCTTCCCCTCTCTCCTGGTGCTGAGCCCTTGTCAGATCCTTCCCTTCTCTAGTGGTGCTGAGCCCTTGTCAGATCCTTCCCCTCTCTACTGGTGCTGAGCCCTTGTCAGATCCTTCCCCTCTCTAGTGGTGCTGAGCCCTTGTCAGATCCTTCCCCTCTCTAGTGATGCTGAGCCCTTGTCAGATCCTTCCCCTCTCTAGTGGTGCTGAGCCCTTGTCAGATCCTTCCCCTCTCTACTGGTGCTGAGCCCTTGTCAGATCCTTCCCCTCTCTAGTGGTGCTGAGCCCTTGTCAGATCCTTCCCCTCTCTCCTGGTGCTGAGCCCTTGTCAGATCCTTCCCCTCTCTACTGGTGCTGAGCCCTTGTCAGATCCTTCCCCTCTCTCGTGGTGCTGAGCCCTTGTCAGATCCTTCCCCTCTCTACTGGTGCTGAGCCCTTGTCAGATCCTTCCCCTCTCTAGTGGTGCTGAGCCCTTGTCAGATCCTTCCCCTCTCTCCTGGTGCTGAGCCCTTGTCAGATCCTTCCCCTCTCTACTGGTGCTGAGCCCTTGTCAGATCCTTCCCCTCTCTCGTGGTGCTGAGCCCTTGTCAGATCCTTCCCCTCTCTACTGGTGCTGAGCCCTTGTCAGATCCTTCCCCTCTCTACTGGTGCTGAGCCCTTGTCAGATCCTTCCCCTCTCTAGTGGTGCTGAGCCCTTGTCAGATCCTTCCCCTCTCTCCTGGTGCTGAGCCCTTGTCAGATCCTTCCCCTCTCTAGTGGTGCTGAGCCCTTGTCAGATCCTTCCCCTCTCTCGTGGTGCTGAGCCCTTGTCAGATCCTTCCCTTCTCTAGTGGTGCTGAGCCCTTGTCAGATCCTTCCCCTCTCTACTGGTGCTGAG